TTTGCTAAATTTGAAACATGTTAATGTTGTTAGTCAATCATCTACCAATTAACCATAGGTCAAATCAATTAAGTTATCATATCAGATTTGTGGAACCATGTTCAGACCGTCAGTTGGGTACTTGGTGGATGTTTCTGGTACACACTAATCACTCCCTGTTATTTGGGAAAGAAAAGTTGTTTTGAAAACCATTATTTAATTTGATGAAATTCTTAGCTAATTATCAGATAAACATCAATCTGGGCTGTGTTAAAATGTACATAAACTAACTAGTCTGTGATTGGTGACTTTGCAGTACATGTTTTACACAGGGGCTGAGTAAACCCCTTACAGATCTTTTCTGATTGGTTGCATTATGCTTAATATTAGTATTTGCATAGTCACTAAACCTACACACAAAAATGGCTTAGCTTATGTTTTTTTTATTTATAATACATTTTTATTGCAAGATAATAAAAAGAAAACATAGGAAGCACAAGACAAGTATACATATAAGAAGTAGGACAGTGAGTAAATCACAACATGTGCATCAGGATCAAAAGCTTAAGCCATAACACATTTCCCAGAATCGTTCTCTGATGCACGGGAAGGGAAAGGAAGGTGAGGTATGGGTATGGGGAATTTGGTTGAGTAGGGAAGGGAAAGGGGGGGGGGTTGGGGCAAGATGAGAAGACGGAAGGGGAGTAGGACCATTTCCAATATAGCATTGGGTGTCATTTCAGTTGAGCATATAAAATAGAAAATAGAGGACCCAGCAGTGCATATACTACTCTGTAGAACCATTATGTCTTTGATACACTGGCGGAACTACCAGGGTCGCAGCAGTCGCAAACGCAACCGCCAGTTGGGGGGGCCAGGGAGAAAGAGAGCCAGCAGATCCCTCAAGCTGCCCACAACGTTCGTGGCCATGGGTTGCTTGGTGGCGTGTGTGCGCTGATGTTCAGGAGCCCTGTTGTAATTGCTGTAACGTAAGGCCAGTGAGAAGCCTTAGGAGCCCTATGCCCACACGGTGCATGTGCTAGGGTGCATGACGAACTGGCGCTGTGCAGAGGAGACAGACGCCGCTGGAGAGGTATAGCGTCCTGCGACCAGGACAACCAGCGGCGCCTCTTTTAGCTCTCTCCAACTTGACACTGTGGCGCCCCTTCTAGCTCCCCTCTCTCAGTGACAGCGGCAAAATTCTCCCGGTACAGAAACCCACTCTTTTCTTCGTGATTTTCTGCCTTTTCTCCATCTAGAATGTGAGTCCTGTTATGACTATTTCTTCAACGTTGCATCTTCTTTTTTTTCACTGTCTGTGTACGACCCCCTCCCACTGAAACC